CCCTTGGTAGCCAGTCTTGGCCCATTTCTGACCCGTGCCTGGTAACCAAAGCTCATGTTTCAACATTGGCTGAAGCCTGGCTTAACCATTGGGTGAAATATGGCCCAAGCTTGGTTGCCAAAGCCTAGGCAAGTCTAGGTTGAGCCAAGCTTGGACCAGTTGTTGGAGCTTGGAATTCCTACCTGGGTAACGATACCAATTGGTCTCCTTTTTAAAATATGCTTGATTTTTTATTTTAAACGAAAAGCTACTGGGTCTCTAATTCATTGAAAGGATTGAGTTTATGGCACTAAATAGGGGAGAATCTATCAGGCGGCCTCGGGACTCAAAATATATTTTAGAAGATCAAATTTTAAACAGAGCATGGGACCTTTATGAACGTGGAGAACTAGACATCTGCCGCTTTCTTGCGTGCGCTCATCATCATTGACGTTTTTTTAAGAATTAATTTACTATGAATTCACCAAATGATGTTGATTACTTCATAACTGTTGAAGTGCATAATATAGGTAGATATTTTTCACATGAGTATATGAATAGCATTGTATGGCACATTGTATTGCATTGCATATTGTCTGGCACTACTTAGCATAAGGGACCTAACGGGTTCTTATGTTTGTAAAAGAAACAGTGGAATCGTCCTAAAATCGTTATAGAGGACTTACTATGGGGGAGAGTGGAGTAAAGTAAAACAGTCAAGGCTCGGATGGACTATCTTAGTTTTATCTCTCTTTGTTTAAAAGGGATCTACCAAGTTTACAAATAAATAATAAAAAATTACGCAGCCTACCATTGTTCTCCAGGAGATTAAGTGACAGCTAGATGCAATGGTAAGCTAGGTATTTTTTCTTATTTTTGAGTAAACTTGGCAGATCCCTTTTAAACTATATCGCTCTTTAGCGCCTTTCAATAATTTTTCCTCTTTTTTTTCATTATTTTTTCATTTCCATTCAAGTTTAAACAGAAGATGGCGTTCGATAGATAGTCCATCCGGGCCTTAAGACTTTTTTAAATTGTTGATTGGATAACTCAAGTGTTAACATGAACTTCATTGCTAATATTGTTATTAAATTGTGAAAAATAGATATTCATCAAACTCTCACCTCAAAAATTGAAATTTGATTGACTATCGTTTTCAGTTACTGCGTTCTTCGCATTTTTCAATTTCTGTATACATTGTATATGGTGGAGAATTGCTCGATCCTTCCAAAAAGATGGACATAAGATCGATAAGATCGTTTCTTGCACAATAGAAAATATTTAGATAATTATTTTTATTAATAAACAGATCTCGAAGTGAATATGTTCGGAATAGGAAATCTCGATCTTTATGTTTTACCACGTCGGCTGCCTATGCTACGTGCTGCTATTGAAGGCAATGTCAATGTATTGGTTTGTGAGTTGATTAAGAATTTATAATGTGAATACTATAATACGTGATTATATATTTTTTATAGACCGTTGATATCATTTGTTGCATTTCTTCATGAGAATTCCTGTTTCAGTGAAAGACGTCAATGCCTCGGTATGCGTGATTTGTGGTACAGAAATAAGTGATCATATGTGTATACCATGTCGTCATTGGTATGTATGTAAACAATGCAAAAAAGCTTTAGCAGATTTGGCAGCAATTGATGGGTCAAATTTATTATGCCGGGTGTGCTTTCAGAATGCTCTGTGGCATGCCAAGAAATTCATGTAACTTAAAAACTAATTGCTCCACTGTTACAAATTTCTTAAAATGTTAGTCAAAATGTCAACGGAGTTTTCAATCATGTCAGTTTGAATTTTGTAGGATTAAGGGATTGAAAATAGGGTACGCTGCGATTTGTATTTTTACTTTTATTATTTATTATCAAGGAATAATTTCTCACTCTACCTCAGTCAAGAGGAACATTGCTGTACGGGGACTCACGAGAGACTAACTCAATTACTTGGGCCTTACTTTTACGAATTTAAGGGTAACAAAATTTTCGACATGTGGGATGAAGGGATATTCCTTCTCCCTTGACCACTTGTGGTCGCCAAATGTTGCTTAAGAATCGGCAGTAATAAATAGAAGCTTATCCGTAAAATTGAAGACTCGGTGGGGGGTGTTGTTAACATTTTCACTATGTTGCCATATGTTCTTTTACAGGGCTATCATGATTTATACTCTTAATCCTCTCGATTTAGTGAGGATAAAAATTGTTTCATGACACTCATGACGACTTAAGGCCCGGGTGGAGGGATTTTTGCCCGACATGTCCCTAGGAAATTCCCTAGAAAAAACGCGTTTTACGGGTAACGAAATGCCAGCCCCTGTAGGCCCTCAAAAAATATAATTGTAGGGTCAATCGACAGATAATTATTTTTGCCGGGCCGGTAATTAGGTCTCAGGGGTGGGAAATTGAGGAATGAACGTGTAAATTACGTTCAAAGATACCCCCTAGATTTCACCAAGATCAATTCTCCAATGATCG